CAAGTCATTACGTGCCTTGTACGAACGCCTATTTCCGCTCAGAACATTAGATTCGAGGGTGCTCGCAGAAACATTCAGATAGCCGTAACTTCCACCATCTTCGACGTAATAAACGGAGGATTTATCAGTGGCGGAAGGGCGTAACTCCCGTTTTGAGGGAAAACGCCGTATGAGTTTCCCAATGCTGCCACTGTTCCTTCGATTCACCAACCATAATTAGATTGCATTTTGCAAAAAGGAACCAGAAGCATTGCAATGATGCTAAGATTGTGCAAATTCATCCTTTGCAATAAAATAATTGAAATCATGAAAAAATACGAAATTTACAAGGTAATTTTTGTCTTAGATTCACAGTTTTCAGCGAATAAAATAGAGACTGTCCATGGATAATCAGGTTTTTTTTCCAAGACCAAAGAAGTTGCACAGTCTTAGCAACATTGCAATGCTCGTGGTTCCTTTTTGCAAAATGCAATCCAATTCTCAAACCATAATGTTTAATCCTTACATCTCCTTCGATTCTCTGGAAAAAAAATATCATGGATTTAGAGTCCAGGATCTTAAAAACATTGACAAGAAAAAATACTCTTGATTCAATCGGACTCTATGCTTGAAACGAAGGAAATCCGCCTAAATCAAGAGGCTCGGCTCTTCAATAAGAAAAAATCGGATTGAATCAAGAGTATATTTTCTTGTCAATGTTTTTAAGAGCCTGGACTCTAGATCCAAGCGGATTTTTTTCCAGTGATTGAACTTAAGAGGACTGATGGATATCTTTACTTTGAAATTTTTAAAAAAGACGAACTAAATTGCGGAGGTCATCCATCAATTATTTCAGGTACTTAGGAGAGGTTCAAGTATTACGGAAGCTTCTTAAGACCGAAAAAAGATCGACGCTTGCCTTGTGGAGTCTTAGTAAGAAGGAGGGGGGGGGGGTCAAGTTTTTATTGCCCTTTTTTTGAAAAAAAAAAAAAAACATACCTACATTTTCCAAAAAAATATATTTCCAGCTATTTTTCAAGCTTTTTCGTTATTTTATAAGGGGGGGGGGCGAGGGAGGCTATAACAGTCTTACGTGATTTATAAAGGGAGGATATAGGTTGCTTACGGATATTTCATAAAGGGAGGAGTTAGGAAAACATGAAAGAGAGAGAGAGACGGGTGGACAATTTTGAAAAAGTGCTTGACCCCCTTTGGTAACCACGAAGAAAATTCTCTGCTAAATTCAAAGTGGAAAACTCACTGTTTACCAGAGGAAATTTGGCAGCACCCTTGTTATCATTTGGCGTTTTTCATCGACACAACAGGTGCTCTACATCTTGGGATGGGTTCTTTCGTCCATATATATGTAATTTTGAAGAAGAAACATGTAAGGAAGGAAGGATTTTGGTTGTACTACTTTGTCTGGGACCCCTGATCTATTGACAATATCGATTACGAACAAGATCGTTCGGGTGATGATATTTGCGGGCAAAAAGTCGATTTTCAATGCTGCCGTGCTATGGAAAAACGTCGTATGAACCTCCAGGCGTTGTCAAATTTCCTTTGATAAAACACGAATTTCCCGGTGAACTTATTAATATTTGCTTTCCAATTTTTCACGTACTTTTGCTCGCAATTTCACCCACAGTTTCTGAAAATTTCAAGGAAAAATATTCATAACTTTTTCTCAAAAATGAACATTTTATCGAAGGAAATTTGGCAACTTTTGAATGTTCATACGGCGTTCTTCCTTAGCACGGCAGAATAGGTTAGATGCACGGTTTCGCGGATTCGCAGCGTGTCGGGCTCGTTTTAATTAAATTTCAGATTGTGGCAACGCGCGGCGCCGCACAGTGAATCAGAGAGATCGGACATAGACTTTTTGACTAAAACTGCAAATTTTAATGTTTATTTCGTCTCGTTTTAAATTGTAAGGGGTGCTCATAGAAAAAAAATTCTACGAGAAAACCAATTAAACCGGTTTTAAAACTTCGAATTTTCGTTGAAACGGAGTTATAAACTTTAAGAGTTTCAAAAAATGGTGCCCAACCTCTCCCGTTGCGTCGATCTACTGTGCGCTGCGCGGTGCCCAGGGCGGAAATGATGCGAAACCATAAAATTGGGCGTGGTTGATTGCCGCCTTGACGCACTCTCCGTGCATATGCAAAGTGTGCAGTGTTGCCGACACGCATGATTAATCGAATTTATCAATAAATAGGGGGGAAGTGGGGATAATTGTACATTTTTATTTGAGTAATTTTTTTCAAATATTTTTATTCATATTTTTGTATAAATAAGACATAGCCCAGGGGCACTGAGGGAGTCATCCTTATCATGTTTCTTTCAAATGAAAGCAACAATTTGACGTTCAAGAAATACCCCAAAGTGCAAATATTTGTGATCAGAGGCTGGGCATGTTGCATAAAAAAAATGAATGAAGGTGCATCTCACTGAGTCTTCACCTAACTACAAACGACAGTATGGACCACTAGACAGTGCATGAAATAAAAACCACCATATTTGTTGCGTTATCAACATTTTGCCTAAAACACGATGAAGAGATTTAAATTTTCTATGAATCCACCTCGCACGTGAGGAAGTGGCGTTTTTCGTTTACTGCTATTCACACTTTCCAAGTTTCCACTTACGGGGAGCCGCTTATGTACAATACTTCTAGTCAAATCAAGCATTAAACTAACATCTGTATATTTTACAATAGAGGAATATGCCTGATGCGTGCTGGCGAGAGCAAAATGTTGTCCGAACGGTCACGCCATTACATCGCTGAGCGACGAAGAAGCCTGCAAGTAAAACTCGTTTCACTTCCATGCGTCTATTTAAAATTATTTATAAGAAATGTAAATAAAGAGAAGAAAATTAGTCGGGTTTTGCGTAAAGTTTCCTCATTTGAAATGACAATAATTCCAACAAACTATACAATAATATTTAAATCATAAGTTGGAAACCGCCGACGCCGCAAGTTTGAATAATCGCGTCAAACACAGTGCGGCCGGCGCGGCGCAGGGCTGGTGCAAAACGCATAGTAGCGCCTTACAAGACCGCAGGATACTTCATGCATTGCGCGAACAGCACGGTGCGCGCAAGGCATAGTGGCGCCTTACAAGATCGCAGGATACTTCATGCATTGCGCGTATACGGCGGTGCGCGCCAAAGTCGTCAAAAAGTTGCATTTTCGTGCTGTTTTTTTTGGACGAAATCAAGGTATCTTGCAGGATGAAGGAGGAGGGAAATGTGTATGAAACCAACCTCCACTTTTTTGCCGAACACATAGGTTGTTTTCAATGACCGATCGGACCTATACGTTGATAATTTCATTCATGTTTACCGTAAGCAAGAGGTTTGAATTTTTTATTCACTCGTGTCCATTATCCAGTGGCGAGGCAAGGATGGAGCGCTTGGAGTGACGGAACCAGGCGCCGTTTTGCCGAAAGCGCCGAAAAGGAGGAAAAGGAGAGAGGAAGGAGGGAAGAGAAAAGGAAATGGTAGAACAAGGAAGAAGGAGAAAAAGGAAAAATGAAAATAGGGGGAGGACTGTTAAAAGTGGAAGAGAACGCGGGAGAAAAGAGAAAAAAGAGGGATAAAAGGGACTGGGAAAATAGAGACGGAGATGAAAAGTATTTACATGAGGACAGCAAGCGCCTTCATAAATAAAAAATCACCCTTTGAAGCTTAATTTAAAAACAAGAGGGCACCTTTTGGCTGCGCCTCTTTCTAACCAATGTTTTATTTGAAGCCTTATGGGCCAAATCGCTGCATCATTTAAAAACCCAATCAACAGTATGGCAGCGTAGATTAGCGAGTAATACAGTTGCTTCCAATTGGACTGCATTTTGCAAAAAGGAACCAAGAGCATTACAATGTTGCTAAGATTGTGCAACTTCTCTTGTCTTGGAAGAATAACCTGGTCATCTATAAACATTTTCTATTTCACAAGCTACAAACTGTAAATTTAAGACCAAAATTACCATGTAAATTCCATATATTTGCATGATTACAGTAATTTTATTGCAAAGGGTGAAGTCGCACAATCTTAGCAACATGGCAATGCTTTTGGTTCCTTTTTGCAAAATGCAATCCAATTGTTCTTTGATGAGGACTATTGACGCATGGGGAGCGTCCTCATTGTGCAATTATAGGTTACGCGCATAGTTTCGCACGCGCATGAAAAACGCCTTCATTGTGGGAGGATACTTTCGAGCGTGGCCGCGGTGGCTGAATAGTTGCATCTTTTAAAAACCCGATCATCAGTGTAGCAGCGTAGATTAACGAGTAACGCGGTTATGTTACTTAAGATTGTCTTTTGACGAGGACTATCGACGCATGAGAAACGCATTCATTGCAGAACGTTACATCCTAGCGTGGCCTCAGAGGCCGCATAGTTACATCATTTAAAAACTCAATCAACGGTGAGGCAGAGTAGATAAGCGAGTAATGCGGATACTGCTGACAAAGGAAGAGACTCCTCCCGATGAGTCAACTCCTGTGTTTACGCTCATAGAAGCGTAAACACAAAAGGCGCATGTATAGGTGAGTTATTTCTACGTGAAAAAATCTCCCGTGGCGTCACTGAGCATGTCTAAAAGTGTTTTTTTTTTTTTTTTTTTTTATTTTTCAAAGGAAGAGAGCCCGTGCTTTTACCCCTCAAGATGGCTCCGTAAAACTTTTTAGGGGTCCCTAAAGTAGTCGCCTTTGACTTTTGGGCGTTCTCAAAATTTCAAGTCTTTATCCCGATGTGTTAAAAGGTCATAGCGGGGCTCTTTAATAACCCTGTGCATTTCCTTTCATGTATTTAGTAGTTCGCAGGGGAAAGAAACTTATTTTTATTTATTTATTTTATATTATTTTATTTTTAATTTTTTTTATTTGTTTTTAGTGAGCTTCCACATGGAAATGACACTTTGTTTATACAATAAATACATGGGAAAATACAAGCAACCAAGGAACTTGTAACTTATTTACATGTGGAGAAACTTATTTGAGCAAATTGTTTGTTTGGACAGGGCTCAGCAGATTCAAATTACTCACAGCCATCTTCGGAGCTCTCCCTGGACGAAGAGAAGGAAGCCATTCGCCGCGAGAAGGAGCGGCAAGCGAAAAGTCAGCTCGACAGGGCCAGGGTAAGTTCCTCATTTATTTTATATTATTTTATTTTATTCAAATATTCTTTAACGCACTGGCGTTTCTGATTTGGCAGTTATCGATGATCGAATTGCGAAACCGCGCATCATCATCGAAATGTATCAAAATTTTCCGCGCGTTCCTATTCTATTTTTTCGATGAGAAGCGAGCCAACTTCATAGCTTGGAATTTATCCAGAATATGCTACTAGCAGAAAAGGAAATTTAAGGAGGCTGATTAGTTTTCAAAAGAAAAATAGATGTTGACAAGAAGTCCACAACGTCGCAAACTAAGATACGTGGTTTTGTCCTTTGGTCCTCATTATGCGCAAGACTCCCAGCTTCTGAATGGGTCGGTTGTACGCAAATGATAAAATCACGGTGGGCACATCATAAATATCTGAAATCCACTACTTTAGCACACGATCTGCCTATTTTGTGACATTGAACTTGACATGAAGGAGAGGATTTGCTAGTTTCCTAAAAGATCGTTCTGGGTCATTTCTGCCCGGGTCAAGTACTGACCAGGACACGAGTCCGAGGGCCAGCTGTGGTGAAAAATGCAGATTTTTCGGCACTTGACCCCATAACCCGCAAAACTTGCAGTTTTTGCCAAAATCGGCCGTCAGACCCATGTCAAGGCCATTATTAAACCAGAAAAGTAGATGAGAAATGACCAAATCATGATGCCTTCAGTAAAATACGGACCCTCAAGGAGCTAAAAGCCCGAGAGTTGGGGAAATTCACGGCGGGCGCTTATTAGTTATGCCGTGATAAGGAAAAACGCTGTATGAAAATTCGAAAGTTGCCAAATTTCCCGTGATAAAATATGTATTTTTGACAATATTCACGCAAATTTTTCCTTGGAATTTTCAGATATTTTATTGATGGAATTGCACAAAAAAATTCTAAAAATTTTGGAGGAAAATGTTCACAATTTGTCTGGTGAATTCGGTTTTTATCGACGGAAACTTGGCAACGTCTTAAGGTTTCTACGGCGTTCTTCCTTAGCACGGTAGGATACCCCTCTTTTTACATCAAGGTGATTCAACGGTTGCCATTTTTTGTGTCAGAGCGACGTGAGATATATCGCATCAATTCGTTCCATAATTTCAGCTACTTGTCGTTTTTTTCGAATTTTGAGATCGCACCTCTATTGTCATGAGACCTAGGAATTTATATACCAAATATGACAAAGAAATTCAACGTATTAAAGGCAGGGTTTTTTCAGAGGAAAAATATCGCATTCGATAGTGATCTCGAAACTGCACTCGAATGCGATATTTTTCCTCTGAAAAAACCCTGCTTTTAATGCGTTGAATTTCTTTGTCATATTTGGTAGATACATTCTTAAGTCCCATGAAAACAGAAGTGCGATCACAAAATTCGAAAAAAATGACAAGTGGCTGAAATTATGGAACGAATTGATGCGATGTATCGCGCGTCACTCTGCATGACAGAAAAAATGGCAACCGTCGAATCAGCTGCAATTACTTAAATCGCAAATCCGTGACGCATCCAAGAACTCCATTATTCGTATGATTCATTTGGAAGAGACCCGTGTGCGAAGCTGTGGATTGATTGGTAATGGAAACGTGTTTCAGCTGAAGCCGGTGGCTTTCGCGGTGAGGACGAACGTGTGCTACGACGGGAAGCTTGACGACGACTCGCCGATTCACGGCAGCGCCATCTCCTTCGACGTCAAGGATTACCTCCACATCAAGGTAATCCCCATCCCTTTATCTCCATCCGCACCCACACTTTCCATACCTACATTTACATCTGACGCCTAGCCGGAGAGTGTGCTACTTAATGACCAACCTCCCCCCCCCCCCCCCCCCAACTATCGCCATTAGAGTACCTATATATGGAGAGTATCGACATATCGAAAATTTTGAGGTTAGGTGATAGAGCTCTCAGACCCCAAAAGGGTAGGCAATCTATGAATTCAAATTATCCAGAGTGATTTATAATCGCAATTGTAGGGAACAGTCGTTGATAAAGCACGTATTTGACTTGGTTTTTGCATAAACTTACTCAATTTTGCGGAAAAATACTTACTTATGAATTTTATTGTCCATTTTCGTTTGATATTGGAGTCTAAAGATTGACAGTGACATTTTTCGTTTTCAAAGATTACCTACCCTCTTGGGCCCTGAGAGCTACATATTTCGAGTTGTCCAACCTCTCCCTAAATAGGTACTCTAGACGCCATCAGCGCCGCCTTTTTATCGAATGGATCGTATTCGATAGTGGTTCGATGTATCGTTTGGTTCACAATAATAGAACATAACCTCCAACCAAAATTTTAGGATCTTAGTCAGAGAAGCTGAAAATGAGAAATTTCGTAGCAATTTCACTACTATTGGCCAATTAGCACTCATACGAATCGATAATCAATCACAAAAAACCCGTTTCGTCAGATTACTCAATTGACTTTTGAGGCTTTGTTTATGTTTTGAACCGATCGATATCGATACAATCTCACCCGTTCGATGTATCAAATACGATCTATTGGGCCGAGCAATCGGATTATGAGATTTTGAATGAAAATATCCGTAATTTCAAATATCGACGAGGAAACTGCAAAAATGCGTATCTCGGTTGCGATGTTTTGAAATCTCTGCTAGAATTAACTTTCTTAAAAGGAGACTAAAACAACATAATAACTTGAAATTTGCACAAAATACCCTTCAAAGAGAGAAAAAAATTTACTGAAATTTTCGAAAAATGATGTATAGTAGTTTTCCATGTAGAAAATAAAGTATGACAGGAAATCTGCGACTCCGCGCGCCGTAAACCGAGGTACACATTTTAGCATTTTCACAATCGGTAGGTTCCAAGAGGTTCATTTCACTTATGTACCAAAAGTGGGCATAAATTGAAGAAAAAAAATACACTTTCATAAATAGGGGAGTGAAACTCGCGGTGCCAAATCTAAATTGCGCCCAAAAACCCCGAGTGACATGAATGCGAAGTGAAATGACACTCTGTAGAAAGAGAAGAATCCGCTCTGTCATAGCTCAAAGTGTAAACATTGGCGGATCCAGCAAGTTGGCAACATTGCCTTTTCTCCATTTAAACCTTTGGAAATGTATCGATTCTTGAAGGGCCCAAGTGTTCCAAGAAGAATCGATTATTTAGCACAGGTTTAAATGGAGAAAATCCGGTGTTGCCATATTGCTGGATCCGCCACTGAATGTAAATCACTCTGTAAGGAGAATAGATTCCGCTCTACTTTCATATCACTCGGGGCTTCTGGGCTCTGCATAGACTCCAGCACAGAATTTCACTCCGAAATTGTGATCAGTGTATGGTTTGAGTTACAGGGATACGAGCACAGTAATCACCAATGGACTCTATGATAGCAAATACTACTACTAACCACATTCACCGAAAGCATTGTAAACAATACCAGGAGTGTTGTTATCCTCACTCTACGATGTCACTGTGTCAAAAATTAAGTGAAACCATACTAGACTTCACCATGCCTATGGTAAAAGCCATGCTTTTTTCCGTGTAAAAAGTTACACCCTAAATCCAATAATTCTGAGCGCCCTCTGGGGGGGGGGGGGCTGAGCCGCGCACAGAGGAGGATCCAGCAATTTGGCAACAATGGATTTCCTCCATTTAAACCTATGTTGAATAATCGATTCTTGTCGGAGCACCTGGCCCCTCCTTAATCGATACATTCCCATAGGTTTAAATGGGGAAAAACAATGTTGTCAATTTTCTGGATCCGCCAATGGCCGCGTAGCGGATAGAGGTCGTGCCATGTATCCCCTAGTATTTGAATGGAGCGCATGACCATCCTACTGAAGACACGATGGTGGGGAATAAGCGTTGATTCGTTGCTTGGGTTTCTGTTGGCAGGAGAAGTACGACAACAACTGGTGGATCGGGAGGCTGGTGAAGACCGGTTCCGACGTTGGGTTCATCCCGTCGCCGGTGAAGCTGGAAAACCTGCGGCTCCAGCAATCGCAGGCCCGCAACTCCAAGCTCTACTCCTCCAAGACTTCCTCGTCAAGTAATTTAGGTGCGCTAGCGTTAGCCAATGACATCGTTTCCACCTCCAAAAGCGCCAATGCTCACTCACGTGGCTCCACCCCTCCTACCCCTGGTACGTCAGCCCACGTCACCCCTCCCTGTTCGGCCATCGACTCTCTTCGACCTCCATCGTTAGCCGTGACGTCACCAGGCAATGCCTCATGCCCCATCCTATATATTTTAATCAGCATAATTCGAATTCATGAAAATGATTTTATGAAGTCATCAATGATATGAAATTATAAAATGTTTCACCATAATTTGAATCATAATTATACTAAATACAACTAAGAAATACATTTTTAACTATTCAGTTACTATATAATTATTTAACTTAAATTTACAGAAACAAGAGGTAGGTAAAATTAAATATTTTTTATGAGGAGATCAATAGGGTCAGATAATTCTGCACGTAAATCAATAGAAAATGCATAACCTTAGGCTGTATAAGGTAAGGGTCGTATTAACATAGCATCATAAAATCGGACAATTGTTCCCAGCCTCGTGTAAAAATCAGCATAACAATTTTTCTCCTCATCATCAGTAATTTACAAATAGAACATAACAAATTAATAATGAATACAAATTAAACAATGCTTGAAACGGCAATTGGAAAATTCTGGAATAGGATGTAATAATACTATTGAAATGAAATTAATCTAGGTACCACTACTACTGCTACCACTGTTACTACTACTACTGTTACTACAAATCAAGCCCTCTTCGGCCTTTCTAAAATAAATAAACTAGTTAATGCAATTTATCAAAATTGAAACTATACGAAATGCTGCAAACTCGCACAGTATGTAATTGAAATGTTAAGATCTTGAAGGTTTTGAAGATAACAATGTTCGGTTTTTATTTGCGGCTGTGAAATGTGAGCGGCGACGTATAGGCCTCACAGAGTAAAAATATTTTTGTGGTTCCAAGCACAACTATAACTTGAAACAGGTACTTAAGCCGACTCTAATGTAAAAATTTACCATTCATTGAGAATTTTCCTACAGTTCCGTACTTGTTCCACTGATATCAAATTAAAATCAAATAATGTTAACAAAGATCCATAAGGATAACAAGGAATAAATCGCCAAAGGTGACGTCTGGCCGATTGATGTTGGTCAATCTCTATTTTACAGAGCTCTCCTATCAAGTCACCGGTCTGTTCGCTCGGCCTATTTTCTTAATTCTCTTTCTTCCTTTCCTTCTTTATTTTTTCTCTCGTTTCCTTTTTGACGTCATCCTTCAATGTTCTTCTTAGTTTCTTCTCTTCATCTCCGCACGTTTTCTTAAAGAGTATGATTCAGCTTGAATGAATGAATGAAACGCATGAGAATGAAACATTAATGAGGGATTAGATTAAAATGTAAGTAATTGATTTAAAAAAATAATTCATCTATGATTTTTTATGTGCAATAGGCCCTAATCAAAGTATGACTCAAAGCAATACGCAACTTAGTTTCTTTTGAGAATTGGACTTTAGGCTTAGAACATTTTAGAATTATGAAAGAGGGTTTGAACTAGAAAAAAGTCACGTATTTCCTCTTCAAAATGCTGAGTAAAAAACTATTTATAAAACGGAAGGCTCGGCATTTAACTCCAGAACGATACATTATAAAATATTTTAAATATAGAGCATATGCAAGTTGGATTTTACAATTGAATTTTAATTTTTTTTGTCATTTAAATGTTTTCCATTTAACGAATGCATATGTTAGTTTTAACCCTGAGATGTCCAAACCTGGTCAAATTGACCCGAGACTAGCTAAGGCACGTGTTACGCAAGCTATATGGGGCCAATGCAATGGGGCCTGGACATATGAGTTTCAGATATAGAATACAAATTCAAAGAGTCAGTCGTCAAAACTGACTATTTATGCTAAAAGAAACCATGTTACAGGCGAACTGTATGCGCATGGTTCCTATTGGCATTAATCCGTCGTTGTAAAAAAAAAAAAAAAAAAAAAAAAAAAAAAAAAAAAAACACACACAACCGAAGGTAGGAAAAACTGAGAGGCTTCGTATTTTCACTTTCCTCCCAAATCTGAGGGATATCTCATTGCTAGCATAGAGCGGAGCGCAGTTCACGCCTAGCGCCATCGCGCCTTCAATTTTGTAGACGCAACCGGGGCATCCATCAAGTACGAATAGTTGTATCTCTGCGCCTGGGCGCCGTAATCAACGCGCATCCTTTCCCTCGCCCTGTCTCCAAATTGTGTTGGTTCCGTTTGTCTAATTTGCAGTGTAGAGGTGCCTCCAGGGCTATGTGAGCTACACAGCTGAAGATAAGAGAGACTTAATCGCGCCTTATTATGCTTATGTATGACAGGTCATGAGCGTTTCCATCAAATAAATCCCTCATTGGTATACTCCTCTCCTCTCAAATGTTTGCATTGGTTGTACGATTCCTTCACAACGTAGTACCATATTCCTTACTTGTTTCATTCCCATTATGTTTACCCCTCTTTCTTTCTTTTTATGTGACAATTTACGAACTCTAACTGTATACTTAAGTGCAATCACGTGTTTCATTATTGTACCAGTTTTCACAGCTACGATTGTTAAGTTTGCTTATCGGAAACGATATTTATTCATGACAACCACACAGCTTGCTCGCTGATGATTTTTCATCGATTTTGTTATGGGGGTTGAAAAAATTATCAACCGAATAACACGGACTGATGCTGATTCTTTAAACTATTTAACGTGAAGAAGTAGGTCTCTGATATAGTTTTGAAAAACTTATGGTATAAGGTAATATTATCGCACATAATATTCCAGAAGAGAGTTCAGCTCAACATGATAAGATTGAAGAGGTGATTGCAGACGTTATGAGTGTTCATTTTTTATTCAAAAATCTGTGCAATAATACGACCTTCCCGCGAGTTATTAACCGTTTGTAAACGTTAGATTTGTGAGATGTTTGTAGGTCTTGAAAAATAAAAAAAGTAGGTACAGCGGGTTACTTCTTTTTAATACGGAAGGATTTAAAATTTTATGACAGTGGGAATAAAGTGGATGAAGATTTGATCCAATGGAAACTTGTGAGGAAGTGGATTCTTCCTCGATCCCTAAACACTATTTATTTTATTTTTAATACACTTTTTGTAAACAAAAAACTCGCATCACTTTTTACTTTGAATTACTTTAGGAAAAAGCATCCACAATAAACAGTTTCACTTTTTGTGTTTTTGGTAACCTTAGGCTACTTTTTTTCTGCGAGATCATCCGAAATTATTTTTTTGATCAGACAAATTTTTTGATAAATGGACAGAGACTTAGGTTACCCTGAAATATCTCAGGATTAAGAAAATGTCCTGCTGACTTAATGCACTCACGTTCTCTTTACTCCCATCCACTAGAAATTATACCATAAAAGTTTTTGCTGAGGATTGTACATCATGAAAAACCTATGTGCATAAAAATAATTTTTTACGTAAAAGTCGGGCCGAATCTCCGTCCTTTCCTCCATCCATGCTTTGCTCACTTAGGAGCAGTCCCGCTTTTTGCTGATTTAGATTTGACTAGTTTAGTTAGTTTAGGTAGCGTGAACGTTGTATAGTCTTTAAGGTTAATTTGTGAATCTTACTCCGCTTTATAGGAAAGACAATTTGGACCGCACTAATCAGAACTAAGCAGAACTAAGCAGAACTAAGCAGAACTAAGCCACATTAGCTTTTGTCAAATTGAATTGGGCAATTTAATTGTTTCGATGGAGACGGTTGTGCGGATTTTTGTGCAAATTTCTTTGAATTTTCTGCATTCTACGAAGCGAATCTTTAAAATTTTCAAAGGAGTCCGCACAAACGTTCCCCTGTAAAAAATTAAAGTGCCCGGTTAAATTTGGCAATAACTGATGTGACTTGCTTCCTTTTCTGCTAAACGCAGTCCATTTGTGGATTCATTGCAACTCACAGTAAATACTCACTTGTCGAGCACCGATGGAAAAAGTGAGTTGAACTCCTTTGAAATGAGGCTGCCCTGTGCTAGCCTCAGGTAGTGTGCAATTTATCCTGAAATCATCAGTAATCAGTAACTTTTTCGCAGTTACCGCACAAAACTAAAATCTGATTTTTGCATTGTGGCGGATTGACTTATGGTTTTTGTGGATAGTGCAACATGAAACACGGAAAACAAGAGGTAAGGGTTAAGCCTCAACTTGGACATTTCCAATCAATTGAGGTAGTACCCCAATTCATTATGGTAGTACTCCGATTAATTATGGTATTGTAGCCCAATAAATTAAGTTACTAACCTCAATGGTGATGTTTTACCCTAACTTGAGTTGCAGTACCAAAATTAATTAAAGAAGTCCATACCATCCAACAAATTGGGGTAGTACAACGATTTTAGGGGATAACCCCTAACTCTTGTTTTTCTGTGAGATGAAAAGTTAAAACCTATTTGAACCTAACCATACGGGATCTCCTTGAGGAAAGGAGCTGTTTAAAGAACGGCTATCAATACAGTCCCTAAACATCACATCAAAGCGAGAATCTGTTTTTCCGGTGAAAATGTATCGAACCCTGGAAGAGTGGAGCCTGCTCGTCCAATTTTAGCCCGAGCGAAGGTTTTATTCATTTCTGCGTGAAAGGCTGACAGGCGATCGGCTGCGCATTTCAGCGTCGAGCTATTGTCTTGAAGCGGCGGATGTACTGCAGTCAGGTTTGGCATGTAATCGATACCAAAGACTTTCGTTTGTTTCCGTGTCAAAATCCTCATTTGAAATTCAACGCTCACTCCGATACCGTGCCTCCTGATCATCGTTATGACACTTTAAAGAATCGATTTTACCCTCTGCCCGTGCCCCCTTCTCTGCGTGAAAAAATAAGAGAAACATGTTTCACCTACGATCCAGGCCTTCCGTTCTCTTTTTAGGAAGTGGAAAAAACAGAATGGGGTGGAAAATGACGCGTCAACTATAAAATATGACTCACAGAAGGGGTTACTAAACAAGGTGCGCAAGGTATTGGGCAAAATATGAACTCCTAAAATGGGACCGCGTTCAACAGAAAGGAACCAAGCTACATTTTACCGCCAAATTTGACCGGGCAATTTAATTTTTTACGAGCACGT